AAAAAAAAAAAAAAAAAAAGAAGTTATATCCTAATACAAAAGAAAAAGGGAGGCTAAGCCCAGTGGCTTCCAGCACATTGGGAGGGGAGGCAGGAGGATGGCTTGAGACCAGGAGTTTGAGGTTGCAGTAAGCTATAGTGATGATATTGCACCCTAGCCCAAAACAGAGTAAGACCCTATCCCTAAAAGAAAAGAAAAATGGGGGATGGGAAAGGCTACAGAAAGTCTCCCATACTAATGTTATTTTTAGTATGTGACACTCTGCCATGATTTTAGGTCTCTGGAAAGGATTTCCATTGGGTCAGGCCTCTGCTACTCTATTTTTCCACAGAACCAGTGAGTGCTCTGTGATAGCCCAGGTATGAATGTGGTCATTTTACATAGTAGATGCTTCTGTGGACTGGGAAAGATAGAAACACTTCTTGCTTTTTTCATGTGCTATATCAAATGTGGAACATTGTTCAGGGATTCAAACTGGGTAGTTGGTGTTCTAGGAATAAAATCAGTTTAGAGTTTAGGATGATTTACTGGAGAACTCCAGAAATCTTTTCCTGTATTTAAAATAAAACTAAAATAACTGACCCCTGTAAGAGTTTACTTTTTAAAATCAATCCCTCCCACACACACAAAATACTATCTGATTTTACAGGGAGTACTCATAAATTCTCTTGAATTCCTCTTATGTACCAAGCATAGCAATAAGTTCCAGGGGTACGATGATGAGCAAAAAGAAACAATGTCTTCTCTATTGAGTTTACAATTTAGTTCTTTTGTTTTCAGAACTTGACTGCAAACTCTAAGAAGAAACACATTGTAACCAGTATAAATGAAGTATAAAAGTAATACATTATGTGTGTATGTATATATAAGTAGCACACAAAAGCACATGTGTATACCTAACTAAAATTCTTGAAACTATATTTAGTACAGTTACATCTGGGATCAGGTAGTGTCTGTTTTCATTTGGATTTCTGCTTATTTATTTTAGTGCTGGTCCCAATCCACTAAATTAAATTGATTTCACAGCACTAATCCTAATGGATCATGACCTATAGTTTGAGAAACATTGATTAAGTGGGCTTTTAGGAAGAATCAAATCAGGAATTCAAGAAAAAATAGTAGAAGGAAATACATCAAAATATAAGCAGCAGTTTTATTTTTGAGATAGTCTCAATTTGTCACCCTCTCCAGAGTGCCATAGCATCATAGCTCACAGCATCCTCAAACTCTTGGGCTCAGGCGATCATCTTGCCTCAGCCTCCAGAGTAGCTGGGACTAGAGGTGCCTGCCACAATGCCCAGCTATTTTTAGAGACTGGGTCTCACTCTTGCTCAGGCTGTTCTTAAATTCCTAAGCTCAAGCAATCTACCTGCCACTATTTCCCAGAGTGCTAGGATTACAGGTGTGAGCCCCCAGCCCCACAACCAGCAGTTTCTGAATGATGGAATATTCAGTGGGTTTTTTTTCCTGTTATTTTCTAAGGTCACTTTAGTAATACATACAAATTTGTTTTTATAAAGGGAAAATTATGACAAGATGAATGATTTAGAAAATAGTGAAGTAAATTATGGTTTATCTTTTTTTCTATAGCATTAAAATGAGGAAGAACTGTAGCATATGGTTAACTACATAAAGCTTTTGAATCCAGGGCTTCTTTTTGTTTGTTTAGCAAGCCCAGCCTGGTTCGAACTCATGATCCCTGTTGCATGGGGCTGGTGTTCTAACCATTGAGCCACAAGCACCTGGCCAGGTCCTGGACTTTGATCCTCTTCTTGCCTCAGGCTCCTGAGTAGCTGGGACTATATATAGGTGCCCACCCTAAGGCTTGACTAATTTTATTAGAATGGGGGTCTCACTCTTACTCTGGCTGGCCTTGAACTCCTGGGCTCAAGTGATCCTCCCACCCTGACCTCCCAAAGTACTAGAATTACAGGCATGAGACACCTTACCTAACCCAGCCCTCAGTTTTGAATTTGGCTTTACCACTAACTAATTGCAGTTTGGAGAAGACATTACTGTGTTAGAGTTTAATTTCCTTTATCTGTAAAATGAAGATAATACTGCCTATATCATTGGATTATCGTGACTATTGAATGAATTAATGTATATAAATTAGTATAATGTCTAGCACATAGTAATTGTTTAATAAATAGTAAAATTATTTTTCTGGCTTAATATTTCAACATAAGACCTTTTTAGCTTAGAGTTGTAGATGAAGTCTTCTAAACCTAAGCTATGAATAAACTACATCATCACCTATGTGAAGAAAAAAAAATGTTAAAGACTTCAGTTTATGTGTCTCAGTGGATTTAGCATGCTTCCTGAGAAAATTTGAGCACTTAAACTTGGGTAGACTCTATTTCTCCAAAAGATGAGTTTTAAAATAGGTATTCCTTCATGCATGTATGGGTTTACAGTATACTTTTCTTCTCTCTTATAGAAGATGCTTATAAGATCCGTATCCGTATCGATGATGAACCTGCCAATCTGGACATTTTGGATACAGCTGGACAGGTATTAAATCCCACAATGGTATGAGTAAAAGTTTTTTACTCTAGTAAAAGGGGAGGGGAAAGCTTATGTGGAAAAGATCATGTATTTCTTTCTCTTAATTTTTCATGCACTGTCACTCAGGATAGCAGGTAATCAATATATCTCTTCTTTAATCTGAAATAAATAACTAATGTATGTGTAGTTCTGGGTTGCATCAATATGTTAATGATCCTTGTATCTGTCTAGGCAGAGTTTACAGCAATGCGGGACCAGTATATGAGGGCAGGAGAAGGGTTTATCATCTGTTATTCTATCACGGATCGTCGAAGTTTCCATGAAGTTCGTGAGTTTAAACAGCTTATTTATCGAGTTCGACGTACTGATGATACACCTGTAGTTCTTGTGGGAAACAAGTCTGACCTAAAAGAGTTAAGACAGGTGAGGATAGAGAAGAAAATGCCAAATATAACATAGTGGGATAAGAAATTTTTATGTCTTAGTTTACAGTTTTTTTCTATCAAAATAGAAAACGAGACCAGGCACAGTGGCTCACACCTATAACCCCAGCACTCTGTGAGTCTGAGGCAGGAGGTTCCCTTGACCTCAGGAGTTTGAGACCAGCCTAAGCAAGAGAGAGACCCCATGTACTCAAAATACCAAAATAGAAGAAAAAAAAATTAGCCAGGCATTTGGGTGCCTGTAGTCCCAAATACTCAGGAGGCTGAAGCAAGAGAATTGCTTGAGCCCAGCAGTTTGAGGTGACTGTGAGCTAGGCTGACGCCATGACACTCTAGCTTGGGCAACAGAGCAAGACTCTGCCTCAAAAAAAAAAAAAGAAAGAAAGAAAAAGATTATCTTTAACATTGACAATTTTTTCTATATCATAATCACATGACAAATAGAATACCCATTAAATGAAGGATCATAAAATGCCCATTTCCTAGATTCTCAGAGATAAATTTATGTTGCAGAAGGTGGTCAGACTTAACTATCCAGAGAAGTACTAGAAATTATGGTATGACCATATTAATTTTGTGTTTTTAATAGTTTTCAGTATTGTTGTTTAAGTATATGCCTTTTTCTTGTTTTTTTTTTTTTGGCTGGGGCTGGGTTTGAACCCACCTCCGGCATATGGGGCCAGTGCCCTACCCTTTTG